TTGCCTTTATTACTGTTGATTATAAGCACTTCATGTACCTGTAAGTCTATTTAATCAATATCATAACTTTTTATACTTTCACATTTTTATTACTCTCAACCTACAAATTGCTACTCGCGGTATCTCTACACAAAACAATGACGTAACATTATCTGCTGTGCACTGAATCTGGTTAAGATCAATTTGCCTCGTTTCAAATTGTCTTTCAAACTTTGAAAACGAGGCCACTGAGAGGGAGACTGTTGGTTACATTTCGATACGAGCGTTCGATTGCAAGCTATGGTTAGTTCTTTAATTGCTTCTATGAAAGTGGGTGAAAACAGTGAGTTGATTTGATATTTTGCTGAAATCGCTTGTGAACATAGACAAAATAAAAGGTGAATATAGGCTGTAAAAATAGCCAGCCCGTCGGGCGGGTAATTTGTAAATCTTACCCGCCCGGCCTGAAAGTTACCAGCCTCGGGCTGGCGGGCTGGCGGCCATTTCATACAATTATATAACCACTGATTTTGTGTGCCAGTCTATTTAAATTACGCCAGTTTGTGCGTGTTCGGCTCATTATGAATGGACGGACACAAGAAGAACGCAGTTTATCCACCACCCCTGTTGTCTAGCACAGAATTTTACTCCAGCGCTCTCTCTTTCTCTCTCTCTCTATCTGCACGTGCATGGTAGTATTCCCTTGCCCGCATATTTGCATCTGTACATAATTTCTTATATATTGAAATAATATCCGTATTACTTATGCTGACAGAGGCACATTTATTACATTTTAAGGCCAAGAAAAGTATAATTAAAAGCAACTTGCAATATATTAAAACTTATATACTAGTAGCTACAAGCGGACACCTGTTGCTGGAACACTGGGGCCTGATATCAAACTTTCTTTGCATAAAAAACTGAACAAAACGCGAAATCACCTCATCTTTGAAGGACTGTTAGAAAATTGTTTTATTTGCTTGGACATGGTGTTTGCTTTTTTTATAATGAGATGGAGCTGATTAAATGCTACACAAAATACCCTTGGTTTATGTCCTTATTTTCCCTATTCTTCCATGCTCTGAAAGTGAAATTGTTTTATCAGCCAAAACGTTAACTTTAGCTTTTTATTACATTTTGCAACACCTTTATAGCCTACATGGACGAAGCTGTGAACAGTAAAAGATATACATCAGAATGAAGTTGACAGCCCAAAGGCAGGGGAAAGCTCTTACATTATCAATGGACGGACACAGGAAGAACGCAATGTACCAAGCACCCTAGTTGTCTAGCACAGAATTTCACTCCAGCGCTCTCTCTTTCTCTCTCTCCATCTGCACGTGCATGGTGGAATCCCTTAGCCCGTAGTTTTGCAACTGAACATTATTTCTCATATGTTGAAATGATATTCGTATTACTTATGCTGATAGAGGCACGTTTATTACATTTTAAGGCCAAGAAAAAGTATGACTAAAAGCAACTTGCAATATATTAATACTCAAATAGCTATAAGCAGACACCTGTTGCTCGAACAGTGAAGCATGCATCCAAACTTTCTTTGTATAAAAAATGAACCATATGTCCAGTCACCTCACTTTTGAAGGAAAAGAGACTATTGGAAATTTGGTTTTAATCGTTTGGACATAGCATTTCCTAAATGTTTACTGATAATAAGATGGAGTTGCTTAAATATCATTGGTTCATATAACTATTTTTCAACTTACAATCATTGGTTAGAAATCTACCATTCTCTGAAGGTGAAATTGTTTTATCTGCCAAAACGTTAACTTTAACATTTTTTGCACTTCGCAACACCTTTATAGCCTACATGGACGAATCCGTTAACTGTAAAAAAAAGCCATCAAAATGAAGTTGACACCACAAAAGCAATGGAAAGGGCTTACCCATTTTTCCTGATGCTTCTTTGTCAGAGTTAGACTTTTAATAATAGTAATAAAAATAATTATGGCAAACTTTATAAGCCCTGTTTTTAATTTAATTAAAGATGTGACAAAGTAAGTTATCAATGTTCCATTTTTATAAAATTTAAGAAAACATGTTCCTACACTGTAAGACTATACTGCAAGGCAATTTAATTACGGAGAAGAGGATTATATTCAAGTGAATAAATATTGAATTAGCTAGGTATTTTTTCACTAACTGTACATGTACATCCTAACCCACGGCAGTGTGGAGCATTCATATAATGACCTTTGTTTGGACCTTATACATTTTGAAAAAATGCCGGAGCCGGATTATGTTTGTCTCATGCTCAAATATTTAACATTATTTTGCATTTTTCATATATAATAACAAAACAATAATTTAAACCAACAAAATTGTTGTTGGTCATTCCACAGCGGTTATTACTGGGTTCAGTGGGATTCTTTAGATGTTCTCTAGAACTTAAATCCCCCCTTCATTACAAAGTTCAGCTATGAGGAGGCACACAATTCACAATTTCATTTGTTCTTTCATATATTCTTAAGAAAATAAAGATATATATATATATTTTAATATGCTGTACAAAATATTAATGAGCAGTTTTTCCTAAAATCTGAACAAAACTTAGTTAACTATGATAACACACGACGAGATAACTGGCTACGGAACAAAAGGTTAAAATATATTCACGCTAGTTGGTAAGGGGTCATTGTCGCATATCTACAACGCAAATGCTGGGGGGGGGGGTTAATGTATTCGGCAAGCTTTTGAGATAATGATAAAAAATCATTAACTCCTCAGCTCCACACAGGGGGTCTGGCAAAGGTCACTATTTTTAGCTTTTCACTTTCAGATTGGGGTGGGGGAGGGTATTGACAGAGGCTTCTTTGTGTAGACGAGTAAAATGACGATAAAATGGATGGCCTTTACCCACCCCTTTCTTTTTCTCCTTCAACATTCGAAGAAACACAGCCTCTAATATCCGTGTAAAACGGAAAGCATTCTACACTTAAAATTTCTCACAACAGATAATAAGTTTATGCTATTTCTGGCAATATCTGCATAATGACATCAATATGAAAAAGTAAAACAAAAATTAATGTTCTGTAAAAAGTAATAAAAAAGATGCAAAAATATAGGGTAACAGAATTCCCTTTTGTTCGCAAACTCCGAGCAATCGTGATGGAAACTAGATCGGAGAATCACAAGGCAAGAGCTGGATACCCCCCCCCCCATCCCTCTCTCCGCCCCCCCCCCCCTCTCTCATCTTATAATAATGTATCTGTTTTACTTCAAACCATCATTTCAATCTACATTATTTCTCTATAGTTTACATAATTTTTGGGATAGGCCTATAATCAAACGCAATATTTAAGACAAACTGGTTAATTTCACTTAACATTCTCTCTTTCCACCAGGCTTAATGTAAGTGAGTATATCACAGAGAGGAAAACAAAAATGAGCTCGACTTCATTCATGGCTATACATACTGCAGCCTCTCCCTAATTCCCACGCCTCTACACCCTTATTAGTTGTCAGCGGGTACTGGCTGGTCTTATAAGACTGAAGGTAGTACACGGAGTTGGTGATGATTTTGTTGAAACAGATTACCCCAAGTTCTACGCAACGTGCTAGAATACTAGCATAAAATTAAAAACGCTGATTATGAGTGCCTGTCTATTTGAACTACCAGTACAACGGTTTGCGCCTGTTCTGACATACACTAGCTGTAAGACGAAATCAGTTTATCAAGCAACCATGTTCTCTAGCACAGAATCTCACTCCATCTCTCTCTCTCTCTCTCTTACCTGCACGTTCGTCTTAGAATTGCTTTGTCCTATTTTTGCAACTGTACATTATTTCTTATGTGTTGAAATGATATTCGTATTACTTATGCTGACAGGGGCACATTTATTACATTTTAAGGCCAAGAAAAAGTATAAGTAAAAGCAACTTGCAATATATTAATACTTAAATAGCTATGAACAGACACCTGTTGCTCGAACAGTGAAGCATGCAACCAAACTTTCTTTGAATAAAATACTGCACCCAACGACCAGCCACCTAGCTCATCTTTGAAGGACTGTTGGAAATCCTGTTTTAATTGCTTCGACGTTAATTTTTTTTTTTTTTTTTTGATAATAAGATGGAGCTGCTTAGATCTCATTGGTTTATATCCTTTTTTCCAACTCTCAAATTATTTGACTACTGACAGTGAAATGATTTAATTTGCCTAAAATTATATATATTTTTTTTTTTAGATTTCACACCTTTAGGCCTATAGCCTACATATGGACAGCGCTATTAACATTAAAAGAAAATCACCAGAAGTTGATAGCATAGCAACAGTGAAAAAACAGTTAAAGGCATGTACCAGTACATATTTCAGGGGCAGATTAATTGAGGCCATCTTCTGGGTCTTCCGGAAGACGGTCAGATTTTCAAGTTTACTGTACAGTACACTGACGGTTATCTTTTTTTTTTTTTTTTTTTCTGTCGGATGACGGTCAAATGGAGGATGGTTCAGCAAAAATAATTTAGAAGACTGTCAGAAAATATCTCTGGATCCGCCCCTGTATTCTAACTGTCATTTCCTTCTCAGAGGACTAAATGATAATTATAATTATAATTAATTATTATATGAACTATATAATAGCCTATATAAGCCCTGTTTCTAAGAAGCAAGTTATAATCAACTGCCGGGTACCTACACCCTGA